ACTCCACTTTAGGAGTTTGTGCATGATTGAATTTTGTGTCCTCTTTTCTTAAGGGGCAGGAAGGAAGATGAAAGCCGTTTTGAAGATCTTATTAACAGGTCCATGATCAAACATCCCAAATTATGAATTTTAAAACTCTCTTTATGATGCATCCAATTTTGGATGGCAGGCATTTACCTATTATCTTTTTTGCCTCAAATGCCCACGAAATGTGGAAATTAGTCAGTTAAGTATTATACTGACCGATGTCTCGTAAAATATTTTATTCCATTTTATTGGAGACCAAAGTAAATCTCTAAACAAGTGATAACTATTGCAACCTCATTTACGACACCTGGTACATTGCTACACTTTGTCGTTGCCAGATCGATAGATCGATCAGATTATGATCAGTTTCACATATGGAACATTTGAACTTCTGCCCAATGGGGGGAAACGTTTAGTCTTGTTGGAAAATAACTGCAGTATCCGCAAACAGCTTAGCTGAAATTACGTAAAGAACCATTGGAAATCTTTTCTTTCCATGGGTCATGAAAATAAAAAGAAATAATCTGGAGCATGAATTTGCACTTGCATGTGCTAGGTGTCAACTTACGAAGTTTTGAATTTATGTAGTGTGACTCATTTATCGGTGCTAGGCAATTTATTGATTAATGCATTCAGTTGTCCTCATCAATAAACCCAAGTACACTCCAATTCCGCATTTGTGCATGAAATAGAAATATCACTATTCTATCAGTAAATCACAATCATTTATTGTGGGTGATTTTGACCTCTCAGCCAATAAACCACATTACGCGAGGTGGCTAAGTATTGGACTTGTTTTTCTTAGCGCAATGATTGCAACAATTCCTCAATTAAACAGCTCTCCGAGATAAAAACCGCGAAATAAATATGCTAAATCAAAGGTCATTTCATTCAAATGTAGATCATTTAGTGACTTAAAAATTTTAATAAAACGGATTGTTAAGAAAACCATATCGTTATCTATTTTGATTTGTCCTTTGAGGTACCACATAGTAGTTATCTCTTTTCCAGTGCATCTTAATCATGCCATAACAACATGGTATATATGGCCTGGTATATTGATGGATATATGATTGAAATTCAATTTCAATTACTTTCCATTCATTCGTCAATTTCTTTGCGTACCTGGTCATATATCGTCAGTTGTAATGGCACGATTAGGGTGCACTGGAAAAGAGCTTGTTTGCCAATTTTGAGTTCACATGACGTGTTCTATGAGACTGCTTTTATCAGTTATCACATTTTCATCCGCATTCAATAAAGCATAGATTTATAAGAGGTCGTCAATGAACTAAGGTCACATCTGATCTAATCAGCATGAAATACTGGCAAGGTTGAAGATTATTACAACTATTACGTGCATTAACATAACTGAGAGCGTCGCTTTATGAGCCTAAAACCGACACTGGAGGGCGACAAATATTGATAGCATTCTGCTTTACGTTATCGATGTATCCAAGACTTCGCTGTTTGGTCTATGTAGAGAGTGATACCGCTGAACATTAACGATAATAACATGAGCTCATTTTTTGATGATTTGTATGAATACTGTTTACTTTGCTCTTACAGTTTCTCGCGATGTTGCTGCATGTGCGAGTTGTTCAAAAAAGTAAGAATTTCAACCCATCAAGCTCGTTGGTTTTACTAAAAAGCTTACGCACACCAAGAAAGGCCTGTCGAAACAAATAAACTCGGGTTAACAAATTAGCTAGTTATGTTTCAGATATGCCTCCACGTTGCAAATATATGAATTAAATGAATAACGAATACTGGATAAGCATGATAGTAAAGTGGCAAAAACCGCGAAATCGGCCATATGCTTCGCGTCATTCACATACTACTTACTGCACACTATGCCTATTTCTGCTATTGATGGATAAAATGAAAACCATTTTGATGAGAGTAACATGAACTTTCGTTTTTCTGTCCACTATAATAACATTCAAACGAATTACTAATACAAACCATGTTGAATAATAAATAAGAAAACTGTTCAATGTTTTCATATTTTGTGACCTTGTATCTCGATATTGGTAAGCAAACATGTCATTGTTGTTTTTAGGATAAATAAAAAACGGTGTATAGTTCATAAAGCACTTTGGATGCTTGCCAACAATTTTTAGGATGCCATTCGGGCAAGCTACATTTTGAATGACCCATATGCATAGAATAATCTACGAGCATGCCACTTATCCTTCCTAAAGCATAAATTAAATGGTTATTTGATATCCGTTAAAAGTCTACGTAAATTATTTTTTTCTCACTAAAGTCTCATTGGAATCACGTACCGAGATCTGCAAGAATGTCTTCACTTCCTTATTTGTCAAGGGAACCGGTAGTAATTGAAACTCCAGTGGCATAAGTCTCCCCTGATCCGTATCCACCCAAGCATTCAGTGCACTGACAGAGGATGGTAAATCCGTTCTTGATGGTTTGTCCAGTAATTCGACACGAAACACCGAAAATTTTCCATCTTTATCTAGTTGTGTTCCCACGCGTATACGCCCAAAGCCACTGGGGCATGGAGGAACTACGGGTACAGCGTAATGACCAATAAGTAAGTTCGAGCCCGGCGTATCCGATTGATAAACCTGACCATAAAATACAAGTAGTTGAAACGGTTTGCACAAATTCATCACAATCCAACGTGAAGCCGGAAATATGGCTCCGGGGGGAAATGCTGTAATTCGAACCGGTGGAATATTAGTATGTTCCAAAGTAGACCAATGTATAACAACCGGATGTTGATTGAATTGATCACCATGATCCCTGTACCAGTCCAAGTATCGAGCTAGCATAATCGGTGGTGTGCTCAACCATAGGAATGTCATGAAGTCCGACACAGGCCTACTACCATAATTTATTGATCCATAAGAGTCACATGATACGATTCCATGTTTTATGGCTGTCGTGTCGTGTCATGTCTATCCGTTTGGCTAGAGCACCCAAACAATGACACGGTTTCCGTTTCTGGTACTATAACCCTACCATGCATTGTGATCGATAAATATACGTTTTCTCTACTCAACTGGATAAACTCATCTTTATTTGAATAATTGTTTTAATAATTGTTTCCAAGTGACCCTATGGTTTGCCCAGAAATGAAATAAAAGCATGCTTGATTCGTCGACTGATAAGGATCATCATACAAACACTTAAGCGGAATTTCTGTGCTCCACGTCCCCCACTTCCACTACATCCACGTGGATACAATAAATCAATACCTCCTATTAAATCGCACATACCGATTTATATGTCTAGCTACACCGTGTTCAGCTGCGTCAAGAGCTATAGCAAGCTGCATAATCTGTTAGTAATGTGTCCAGATCCTTCTTCTTGTAATTGGATTCTGTAAATTTTAAAGGTGAACTTGTGCACATAAAAGTGCGTGTGCACGAGAAGAGAAACAGCAAAGTATTAAATGTAACATCCTTAATACTATAAATTTCACTTCCTTCCTTATTCGCTCAATGTGCAACTATGAGGTTTACGAAGAGAGTTACAGGCGAATCTCGCCTATGCGGAGACATACAGAAAATTGAGAAGGACTGCGATGGTGAGAATCGAATGCGCAAGATCCGCCACGATGTTGTCATAAACTGACTCGCTTAACACACCACTAAATAAACTAATTATACCCAGCGATAAATGCATATACATAATTGTACGATATGACTCCAACGAAGAATGCAAGATTATTTACAAATCCGGGTCAAACCGCCGAATTAAAAATAATAATTGAGCGGACGTCAGCAAACCACCAAAATAAAGAGCACTTGCAGTGCAACTACGATTGGTGGTGAAACGCTTCTACGCAATAAGCCCAGCTCCGTGGTGAGGTGAATATAAAGATCAGTACCGATGTAGGGTGCATCTGGTGATGTCTCTACAGAAGAATAGTACCTATTAGAAGAAATTTTAATCACCCTCAGAACGTCGTATAAAAGGAATGAAGTTATGATTTTCTTAATATGATAGCTCAATCACGAGTCTATAAAACCAGCTTATTGGTGTAGTTGGCAGATCGAAAGTAATTACTCATTCGTCATTTATTGGCGGAACATCGAGTGTGATTTTACTTCATGATCAACGTACACGAATTCGGAATCAGCTTTCAGGATATTTAGCCGACGGAGAGCCATACTTTTTCGTAAATTATGAAACGTCGTGATCATGTGGAACGAAGTAATGGTCTAGAAGTGCGACATAAGTCACCGCTTAATTATCCCAAAAAGGAACACTGCAAAGGAAGGGAAGTCGTAGAACTGTTTGAAGTTCAGCTGATTTTGTGTTACAGAATGTGTCAAATCATAGGTTTATCTAATACAAGTCTTCAGGTTAGTAGGAGTTTGCACGTACCCATATAGTGGAGGGTTGCACAAGGCACAGCGGAGCTGAATGACCATAAAGCCTATGTTGCTAAACCTCAGCGGTTGACAACACTTCCCATTGGCTGGGGAAGACGTTGGATTTTCAGCGCTGCACATCGGAGATGAAAGAATTTTGATGACTCGCGGGTGCCAAAGTTAGCTATATGTTGGACGAACAACACTGGTTACATAGGGAAAATGTCTATTATGTGATACGCTATGTACGCATGTGAACAAAATATGCAACGTCAGAAAATACGATCACACAAAACAAGGTTAAGAGGGAACGACTGCGACCCGGAACCTTTGAGGCGTTCACCCCATACAGAGAGAAAGAAGACGTCTACAGATTATGTTCGCCAATGGGCATTTCTGCTCCCCTATCGACCGATAAATCTTTTCTTAACATATAGATTACTTGATGTTATGGTGCCTAGCCATCATCAATGGTGACTGACCTGAGCGTCTCCATACGTATAGAAGTGCAGGCTTTTTGGCATGTGCAGGAAACCAAATCGAAACTATAAACGTGGCAGCACCTATCAAAAGAGGACGAACGGTGTGCGATCCTACAATTTTATGTTTGGGGTAAAGTTTCACGTTTTACCTCTCTTGGTGTACTGACATGGCTGACAATAGCCTGTTTATTGTTGGTGCAAGGGGTTATGTGCAGCGACTTCACCACTAAGGGTACTCACATTTTCTGGTACCTCAGTGAGAACATACCGTTGCACATAGGAATGTACTAGAGATTGTGTTCGAATGTGATTCCTGTGGGAAAATTCCATCAAAGTGGTAAAAGAAAAATGAGAGCCTAATATTAAGGAAGGCCCGAAATGATGTAGTATCTGTGTCAGCGGGACTGTGAACGTGAACTACAAATTGATGATGATAAAAGTTGATGAACCCTTTCACTGCCTTTCACTGACGAAATCAAGTGATGATGGTTTGACTCGGCACATTGGCGGCAGGACCATGGGCGCAACAGCTGACATAATTTCAATTTATTTGAATCTTTGAATCAAACGTCGGTTCTTCAGGAAGCACTCTTGATATACTTTGTAAGTGCACTAGTTATAAATGACGTTTAGGACGGGAATCGCTTGCGTTTATATATAAACCTGAACCAATCAGACTGACCAGTCTGCAACACAAAGGTTGTAAACAAACCAATCATCAAAACACAACTGATGCAGTAAAACAAAACGATCACTCAAAGCAACACTTTCCAACGCATCCTTTTTTTGAAACCTCTTAATTATGATCCTGATTGGTTTATCCGTTCGCTTCTTGTTCGGGATGGGGATTGCGCTGTCATGCTAGTCGTTAGTATTTCTCGATTTGGTTCTTGTACACAGATTTCGACATCCTCCGGCACAGTATTTAAAACTACTATTCCTTGGTGTTCGTGAACGTTCTGTTCTATTTTACTCAAATAAACTCTATTTCCTCTTATTGTCCGTTGACCACAGCGTACCAGGCGCGAGTTTTTGTTGCTCGCGACATGACTCCTCCCTTCACCCACACCTCCGTTGGTTACAGTGGTTGTACCCGAACCGTGTCTCTTGACCTGATTGACCACAAAGGTTTCCTGCCGCGGTCGTAATACCTGTTCTACAGCGCCATGCGCTTCTTTACCCTTAATGTTTGACAATTCATGGCGTATTCTGTGACTGTAGTAAGTCGTCGCAAATGGATTGAGCCGTGCCTGTGCGTTTACCAAGTATTTATATATATATATATATATATATATATATATCACAGGCTTAAAGAGAATCATGGCGCCAACGCAGCAACAATAATAACAATAACAATAAAACGGGATAGGTGGATTGGGGTACAAAACATAGTGAAGAAGGAGGTGAAACAGTTAAACATGGGGAAATACAAGATAACAGAATTTTGTTGTGTGTTTCATCGTCTACCAAATAAACTTTGGCTGGGGTTGGTTCGCATGTCGGTATGTTCCGTAACCCGAACGGGGCCATTTGTGGGTCCTTACCATCCGCGCCGCCTTTACTAATAAGCTGCTTTGCCTTTTTGACTATGATTTCTGCTTTGTCGTTGGATAGACTATGATAGGGGCTAGGGACGTGGTGTTCAAGGTGCCATCTATCACTGAATTTCTGGAACTCGGTACTAAGAAATTGGGAATTGTCTTCGGAAAACACCTGATGCGGTAATTGTTCCGTGCGGAATAAACGCGCAGTTTATCAATGATCTCCGTCGATGTGCTGAATCGCAGTAAATCAGATTCGAAGAATTCACTGTAGTAATCATCAGCTATTAAGTAGTTATCTTTTTCTGTGATACAAAATGTCCAGCGCTACCTTCTGCCATGTTCCATCCGGTATTGTACACACATTCCTCAGGTCCTTCGTTTGTCGTTGATCAAACTGCCTTCAGATTTCACATTTAGTAATCAGCTTTCTTACCTGCTCCGACATACCCGGTCAATAACGTCTCCTTGGCGTCACTGAGGCATCCGTTTATACAGACCTGAGAGCAATGTATCAAACGCATTAGGTTTCGTCGAATAGCTTTCGGCACTACCAGCCTTTGATCTGAAACAACTCAATTCAGTGAACCGATAGTGCATCTCGGAATTTGATTTAGGGTTATACGTCCACCGGGACAGCCGCGAGTGACGGATTCTTTGAGTCAATATTAGCATTTCGTATGTGAGACATCTCGAACTGCGTCACCGTCAATGCAACGCTCACGGATTACAGTTCTTTTCCTGTCCTGTCGCAGTTCTCCTTCATGCGTCATATAGAAGAGTGCCAAGCCTCGAAAAATGCTCTGGCTTGTTTTGACCTGGCGTGGTCAATAATTTTCACTGATTCCAAGTCAAACTAAGGTCCTTCTTGCTGTTCGTGAGGAAATAACAGATGGTGGGTCATATCTCAAACAGTATTTTGTGTTCATCTGCGTCTTCATCAAAAATTAGAATGTCGTTTCCCACGCAAAAAACACCGGATAAATCATCTATCACCTGGAGGATTGTTTCTGAAACGTTTCACTTGATACTTTCAAACAAAACGATAGTCTTTTCTAATGATATCGCCCAAATGACGTGCCAAAAGTGGACAGCTAGCTTGATCTGTGATCAAGCTCTAAACGCCAAAACGTAGAGGCAAAATCCACCTTTGTGAAGCGTTGTGCATTGGGTAATTTTAGTTGTATATCGTCACTGATGGATAGGCTGAAGCGCTTTCATCTCCAACGCCTTGTTTAACGGCTTCGGATTGATAGAAATTCTCACCTTCCCAGAATCTTTCATCAACACAATCAGACTTACCAATTTCGTCGTTTCATCGGCTTTCTTCAAAACACCCTTTGCCATTAGTCCAACCACTACGCGCAACAATTGCTCTGGAACTGCAAGTGGGACTCGCCGAATTGGTACAACAATTGGCTCGCCTGCGTCGTTCATACTAATTGTGATACAACCTGGCAAC